ACACACACACACTCATAACTCCAAAACTGTAGCACAGAGAGTCAAAAGGTATGTATTGTTTGATAGAAAACTTTTCACATTTTTAAATAGAAAAAAAACACAGAAAAAAAACATTTGGACATTCTCATGCTGAGAAACTGCTGATAGAATATAAAAAATAAACGTGTGCTCCAGGGAAATTGTTTATATATTTTTCAAATTTTGTATGAACAAAAATTATTTTTGGTGAAGTTCCTCTTAATGTCTTCTGCATCTAGATTTTGTGGTAATATGAAAAAAAAAATCATGAAAAGTTACAGTATTTGGAACCAAGGTAGCCTTTTACATTAGTAACCTTGTAATCTTGGCAAGCAATATTAATAGCACTTCAGTGGATAGAAGAAATACAACCAACAAAGGCAGTGATATGCACAGATTCTCTTTCAGCACTAAACAGTTGATCAAGTGGAAAATCATTGGCAAGACAAGACATGATAAATAAAAAAAAGTCTATTTAGAATAAGACAGTATGGACTTTTGGAAACCTTTGTGTGAGTATCATCACATAAGGGTGTGAAAGGAAATGAGGAGGCTAATCTGGCGAAACAGGCATTAAACCATTCACAAATATCCTTTGAAGTGGTATTAAGTAAAACAGAAATAAAAGCAATAATAGCAAAAGTAATTCAGGAAATATGGCAGAATGAATGGAAAGAAGGAACAAAAGGTAGACATTTATACTGCATACAAGAAAAAGTTGGTTCAGAGAGAAGAAGATTTGGAAACAGGAAAGAGGACGTTTTAATAACAAGAATGCATACTGACCATTGTTTATTAAATCAGTGCTTGCATAGAATAGGAAAGCATGAAAATGGAAATTGTGACAAATGTGGTTTAGCAGAAACTGTAGAACATGTACGTATAAAATGTGAGGCTTATGAAAGAGAACGTTTCCAGTTAAGTCAAGTTCATCTTAAAGGGGTCATAGGATGCTACATGCACTTTTACAGGTAGTTTGAACTGAAATGTGTGTTGGCAGTGTGTGTACACAACCACCCTATAATGATAAAAATCCACCCAGTGTTTTTTTTTATTAATCTGCTCAAATCTTTACCCCTTTCTCAAATCGAGCCGCTCTCAGCTGCCTGTCCTTTGCAAATTGCCTTTGCTAATAATGTGCTAATTAGCAAGTTTCACGGTGAATGCAGCTAAAGTAAACTGTCCCTCAGAGAGTAACTCGGAAGAGAGGGGCGGAGTCAGCAGAGCTCATTAACATTTAAAGGGAAATGCTACAAAACTGCATGCTCTGAACAGAGCTGTTTTTGACAGGGTAAAAAAGGTGTTTTTACATTACCATTGAGAAATTTTAACCAAACTATGTTACAGACTTTTCATTAAGACCCTAAAGAATCATATCCACTTGTGGAAAATGAGCATCCTATGACCCCTTTAAGATATTTGGAAATAAATGATCTGTCACGGCAGGTTCTGTTAGGAGATGGAGCTAAACAATCAAGAATCTTTCGAGAATTAGTTGTTTATTTAAAGGAAACAGGATTGATTAATAGGATTTAGGATAAAGGGTTTTGTTGTGTGTGTGTTCTTTTTTTCCCCCCTCTCTTTTCTTTTATTATTGTTAGTAGTTCTTGTTTCTAAACTTCCTATCCATTGTGCGCTCCACACTCCTTGGTACAAACTTATGATAAATGTTAACTCCTATTTGTCACATTGGATAAAAGTATCTGATAAATGTAAAGGCATTTGTACGTTTAATCAGTTCACTGGAAATACTAATAAAATTACCATTGATATTGTTCATTGTTTCTGATCCATTATTGTGTTGAGAGACACTTAGGTTAGTGTGATCGACCGTGGGCCGCCAGCTAACATTAATGATAAACCAGCGGCACAACGGCGAATCGCTGTCGGAATAGCGGCGGCTGCCACTGGTGGTTCGCTAGAAAAACGATGAGCAAAAATCCAGAGAGCTTCCGGTGGTCCGCCACTGGCCTTATGTTAGCTGGTACCACTTCCAGTTCAGAGTTAAATCATGATTACAGATGGACCATGTCATGAAATGACACTTAGCCTACCTACATCTTGTTATACTGACATTTTGAACATAAAACCAACACATAATTTATCTGTCATCCGCCCGCTACCCGCCTGCAATTGGAATGTTATTTTTATAACCCAACCCCGCCCAGGTTATCCACATCCCCCACGGATATAACGTTGATCCTACTTCGCACGCTCCGCTCCCGCCTGTCATTCTCTGAGGAGGTTGATCAGGCTCATGTTTCCCACGACACGTGCCGGCTGAAATCATGGGCTTCACAAATGGTCAAATACATTTTGTTGGTCAACTCATTGTGCTCTTCATGAATAAGCCTATACTGAATATACTTCAATATACCGTCCTTTTCAGGAAATAAATTAACCATCACTGTAAAAAATTTGAGACAGTAAAACAGTAACATTGTGAAATATTATTACAATGTAAAACAGCTGTTTTCTATGTGAATCTCTGTTAAACTGTAATGTATTTCTGTGATGCGCAGCTGTATTTTCAGCATCATTACTCCAGTCTTCAGTGTCACATGATCTTCAGAAATCATTCTAATATTCTGATTTGCTGCTCGAGAAACATTTCTGATTATTATCAATGTTGACTAATTATTAACTGTTGATAATCAGAAATGTTTCTTGAGCATCAAATCAGCATATTAGAATGATTTCTGAAAGATCATGTGACAAAGGAATAACATGTTAAAATTTATTCAAATATAAAACAGGTATTTTAAATTGTGATAATTCACATGTATTTCTGTTTTACTATTTATTTCATCAAATAAAAGCAGCCTTGATGAGCATAAGAGACTTCTTTGTCAGTCTTTTTCACTCATAACTTGACATTAATTGTGAGATAAATCCCAATTT